TTCGCGGTAGCTTACGGTTTCTTTAATGGAGAAGCATCAGGAGGATCTGGCCATCCCTCAACAAGATACTGAGGTGGGGCTGACGGGTACACCTTTTCCTCATTTCATTTTTCCTCATTTTCATCCTTTTGCTCTATAATTTTTCTGCATACTTCATCATACTCCCTTTCCTCTCCTGAATCTTCTTCCTCAATGTCTGTCTCTAAGGCAAAACACACTAAAGCCCAAACAAACCACACCAAATAAGCCTCGTGTTTGCTTGATCTCTGTCCTGTGTTACCATAATACTACCTACCGAGCTCTTCCAGCTCCCGCTGGGAGATTTTTTCAACAGTTCTCAGGCTAATTCTGAGCTCCCCAACTTACCCTGGGAGATTTTTTCAAGAGTTCTCAGGCTACTTCTGGGCTCCCCCTAACTCACCTGGGAGAGTCTTTCAAAAATTCCTGGGCTCCTTCCGAGATCACCCAACTTGCCCTGGGGATTTTTAAAAGAGTACTCCGGATACTTTCAGCTTAGCATCTCCTTTCTCCATCACTCAGACGACCCTTCATGCCGGGTTCAAGCCCCCACGTCTGGGCGCTACTTACCAAGACCAGCTTGGCCATAGAGACCCCCACCCAGGCAGTGCTAAAGGCACTGAGAAGCAGACACCTAGATAGAAAAGCAAATTGAGTCTATCTGCAGAGCTAACAGCCCTCCGAGCTGACAGCGTCAGGGGCTGACAGCATTCTGGGCTGAAGGGCTCGAACAGACTCTACAGATTTTTTCTCTCTGAACAGGTGATTATTATTAACAAACAGATGTTCTGTATTTTCTCATAACACAAAAATATACCAAGTAGGCAGCTGATGACTGCTTACCACTGATCACAGACAAACTAAAAAGTATTCTCCATGAGGGAGCCATGGGGGCAGGGTCAGATGTATGTGCTTAAAAAATGGGATCTAATTAAACTCCAGAGCTTCTGCACAGCAAAAGAAACAATCATTAGAGTGAACCGGCAACCAACAGAATGGGAAAAAAATTTTTGCAATCTACCCATCTGACAAATGACTTATATCCAAAATCTATAAAGAACTAAAACAGATTTACAAGGAAAAAGCAAACAAACCCATTCAAAAGTGGGCAAAGGATATGAACAGACACGTTTCAAAAGAAGACATATATGAGGCCAACAAACATGAAAAAATGCTCATCATCACTGGTCATTAGAGAAATGCAAATCAAAACTACATTGAGATACTATCTCAGGCCAGTTAGAATGGCGATCATTAAAAAATCTGGAGACAACAGATGCTGAAGAGGATGTGGAGAAATAGGAACACTTTTACACTGTTGGTGGAAGTGTAAATTAGTTCAACCATTGTGGAAGACCGTGTGGCAATTCCTCAAAGACCTAGAAATAGAAATTCCATTTGACCCAGCAATCCCGTTACTGGGTATATATCCAAAGGATTATACATCGTTCTCTTATAAGGACACATGCACATGTATGTTCATTGTGGCACTATTTACAATAGGAAAGACTTGGAACCAACCCAAATGCCCATCACTGATAGACTGAACAGGGAAAATGTTGCACATATACACCATGGAATACTATGCAGCCATAAAAAACGAGGAGTTCGTGTCCTTTGTAGGGACATGGATAAGCCTGGAAACCATCATTCTCAGCAAACTGACACAGGAACAGAGAATCAAACACTGCATGTTCTCACTCATAGGCGGGTGCTGAACAATGAGAACACATGGAAACAGGGAGGGGAGCATCACACACTTAGGTCTGTGGGTGGGGACTAAAGAAGGGACAGAGGGGTAGGGAGTTGGGGAGGGATAACATGGGGAGAAATACCAGATATAGGTGATGGGGATGGAGGCAGCAAACCACATTGCCATGTATGTACCTATGCAACAATTCTGCATGTTCTTTACATGTACCTCAGAACCTAAAATGCAATAAAAAAGTATATATATTAAAAAATTGTTTTAATCAGTGTATGATATTTATATATTGTCCTGCTGCTTTAGAATGCCCCAAGTAGTTTTCTACTAGTGGGGGGTGGCTAAGTTTTCCTTACCATTGTTCTTCCTAGCAAGCAATGTATTCCATCATATACTCAGCATTTCTCAGCAATTACACACTCAGCACTTCTCAACATAGACCCTCCACTCCAGAACTGGTTGTTAGACATTTATTACCTGGTTATGTTTATCAGAGAAGAACCTTTCATCTTTGGCAGGTGATTCTTTGAATTCTTCCAAAGTGTTCAAAGAATTATTATTATCAAGGATTACTCAAGGTTATCTTTGAATAACAGTTATTACAAAACAATTAACTTTCCCTTTTCTTCACACTGTGAATAGGATCTAAAGCTTTTCCCCCATCCAGTAATGTTATAGGTTGCATTGTTTTGGGAACTCTGGACCAGTCAACTTGGGTTTTCATCCTGGCTTCATTACTCACTAGTTTATTAACTTTGGGAAAATCTCTTAGGTTTTATGAGACTTGGTTTTTTTCCCCAATAAGATGTTAAGAATAATATCTGACAAACCTACAAGACAGATTTCTTAAGTTTAAATGAAATAACGCATTTGAAAGTACTTTATAAAGTCAGAACCCGATGCAAGTTATTTTTATTATACAGTATCATTAAAGGAAAGGTAATAATAAAAATCTTTCTACTTTGAATTTTTGACTACAGTACCATTGTCAAATCCCAAGTGAGTACAGCTTCTTCCCAAATTATTTTATCCTTATTGAAAATGCTGCTAACATCTTTTAATGCCCACAGAACAATTCTGAAGAGATTCTTTTTTAAAAAGAGATCAATAGGAAATTGATTTCTATATATTTCTACAAACACTGCTTCCTGGGACTATTGTAAAAAAAATCTATTACAGTCGAAGTTTTTTTTTTTTTTTTTTTTTAACTTAAGCAGCATTAGGAGCAAGTTATTTTTGTTCAGATAATAACAGATAAGTATTATTCTGTAATTTCACAGCAAGATATGCTCCTCCTATGAGAAGTGATATAAGCATTTCTTGGTATTATAAGCTCAGATTTCATAGAAAATGGGTGTCCTAAATAAGAGTCAGAATTTGTTAATATTGGTACAATCCATATGTCAATCATTCTTTGGGCTGAAAAAGGGAAAATGTTAAAATTTTTTTTTTTTTTTTGGGCCACTGATATGGAGTCTTGCTCTGTAGCCAGGCTGGAGTGCAGTGGCCCAATCTCGGCTAACTGCAACCTTCTCCTCCTGGGTTCAAGTGATTCTCCTACCTCAGCCTCCCGAGTAGCTGGGACCACAGTCATGTTCCACCATGCCCAGCTAATTTTTGTATTTTTATTAGAGACGGGGTTTCACCAAGTTGGCCAGGATGGTCCTGATCTCTTGACCTAGTGATCTGCCCACCTTGGCCACCCAGAGTGCTGGGATTATAGGCGTGAGCCACCAGCCAGGCCTAAAGTTAAATCTTGTTTCAGCAAGCATATAAAAAGTCACTGTCATAGAGAAGATAATGAATACTCTAAGACGTCCATACTTTATGAAAAGTGTCATACCTGAGATGAATTGAAAATCATCTGTGGTTATTTTAATCATGCAGCTCCTTTGTATTTAGTTTTTAGGTAGTTTTATTGTGAGTAAAAATTTAATGACATCATATAAAATGTTTTGTTCAAATTCAAGCTCATCTGAAATTTAATATAACTTTATTTTGTGGCAGGTGTGTTACTCTTCTTAGTTTTTTTCCCAAGTGTTAATAATATAATATTGAGTATTCTTTCACTATTTCTCATTATTAATGAGAAAATAATATATTAAATTTAAATGGATTTCTTTAAACTGTAGAAGCTTTAAAATGTCACTATGACTCTCCCAGAAGCGAGTATAGTATGAGGTGTTTTCCAAATTTATTCAACCACAAAATTATTGATTCAAGGACATTTTAGAGATAGTCATTCCCCAGAGTACATACTGGCAAATCTATTCTGGTTGTTTGCTAGCTGAGCTACCAAAGTAGTATGATAAACACCATTAAGCATGGTTCAGAAGCAAGGATCACTGATTGGATGGTTTTCAATACATCATTAATCTTCTGAAATAGAATTGTGTCATTTCAATCCACGGAAGTAGGCAGGCTTTCTTTTCCCTTAACTCCTCATACCTTAAAGCATCTCATATAAAGAAGCCCTGAGGCTTCACTCCATGGTTCTTGTAGGTAATGGCTGCTCACAGGGCAGAAGGCAGCAGGTGAAGACATTTTTTTTTTTTTTAATGTCACCCTTGAGTATTATAAAAAGTGGTGGCACTTTGCACTTGCTGAAGCAATACATCATTGTTTAGTAGGTTTATCAATGTCATCACTCGATTCCTACAACTCAGAATCTAGTGCCTGCTAAGAAGCCTAGGGTTCAGTAGCTACCTCACCGGTAGCTTTCCTCCTGCTATAGGAATCTATGCTTCATGGCTCTCTCAAGCTCCTACACAACCTACCTAATCAGTCTTCCTCCCAAACCCCTGACCTGTTAGCTGATTCCCATGATAACAAGCAGCTAGTCCAATAAACTGACATGGGCCAATGGGTGAATGGCAGAGGGAGAGCTGCTTTCCTTCTTTCCAGACAACATGCTGAAGCTGAAAATGTAAAGATAATGCTCACATATCTCTCTCTCTCATCCCACACCCGTGTCACTGATTTTCTATGATGCATCAGACACATGGCTCTATGAACCTTTGCACATGGGGAATCACAGCCTAAGCGGAGGGCCAAGACAGCAGGATATTTCTGAGTTGGGCTTTGTCTCCTCAAAAAAAGAGGGGTAGGGAGGTACATCTCCCTCTCTACATCCCGGCACATAAAAATTTCCATCACCAATGCTGATGTATTTGATCCAACGGTGCTAAGTTCTCCTTATATTGAGAATTCACAATATACAGTCTGGTTTACATAATCTTTATGTTGGTGTTTGATAACAGAAGCACATTATCAGGAATCCAAGAAAATACATTTATTAAACTTTGAAGGAAAAAATCCACAGACATAAAGAGAGTTAAATATAAACTGCCAGACACAACTAGTCATACTAGTGAATAATGACTTGTGTGGCCACCAAAGTACCAAAATGACATTCTGAGACTGATTGAGGTATTTAGCTATTTTTGGCTATAGAAATGTTGTCAGCCTGTTGTGAAATAGTAAGATAGTCTCCCAAACACACAGCTTTGAATTGAATTAGGTTCTACACTGATGATACTTTATATGAAACTAAATTATGTAGTTCTTGGAGAAAACCATAGCAGCAAGGTAGCAGAAAATCTATTAAACAGCAATTACAAATAACATGTTGAAATTTAAACACTCAATTCTAGCTTTTCATAGTCCTTCCTGCAGGAAAGAGGGAATTTAAAATTATCAGCATTAAGCTTGCTTCCTAAGAAAGGTCTGAGATAAATGGGAAATACTATTTAAGTTAAAGCTAACTTCAAAGTTTTTAAGCTTTTTTAAAAATGAGAAATATTCTTCACTGAGATGAGATTCTTCTTTTTCATAAACCTTTTCAGGAGCTATCCCAATGCTCTTAAGAATGATGTTAGGATATGAAGGATTGCAAAAAAATTTGTAAATTACTCAGGCCTCTTCTTTTTCTTTTGAATGTCTGCTTTGAGGCCAATCCACTCAGAGGAAGTAAAAAATGATGAAACTTATTCTTTTGCTATTTTAAATACATGCTATAAAAGGTTTAGTGAGAAAGAGAGTTTCTTTTACTGGTTTAAATAATTTTGAGTTATCTGTGGGAACTGAAAACCTTGTTTCTTCTGTCTATGATCTGTTCATTACCATGAAAAATGAATATGTGCCTGGTTATAGGCCATGAAACAAAAACCTATTTCTTGAACTCTTTGTTTCGTTACCAAAACTGATCTGCTTCAGTTTACAAAATGCTTCTTGTATCTTATTCCCTTCCTAGATAATTATGTAACAAAACCAAGTTGGGTGTGAACAGATTCTGCTGCAGAGGATATAGATCTTATCTCTCACCATCTGCACGCACTAAAAAACTCATTCCACGTGCAACCACAGCACTTAAGCACCTCGTTAAGTATGAAACAACTGATTTCTACTTCTCTTAGGATGTATTTTTTTTGGCATGAACCAAGATTTGGTGAAGAAAGGTTTCCTTTTTTTGCTTTTACATCTTTTGGTGCACAGTAAGTTGATCTGTGCAAACAATTTAAAGTTTTCCAAATTAACAAATATTTGTTTAAAAATTCAGAAGAAACAATTGTGTTCTAATAATACAAAATTTTATAATCATTTTAGAATTGTTTAAGGACTCTGGGGAGGTATAAAAGGGCTTTGTAAAAAACTAGTTTGTTTTTCTTTAGGTGCACTGGCCAAAGCATTAAACCAGCTTTGGACTGTAGTTGCTATACTCCTTAGAGGGATCACACCAACTGCAGTTCACAGTGTGTAGTGTAATATAAAATAGTCATGCTCTAAGTTTAAATTATTAAAAATACCTTTATCAATTTTATGTCAAAATAAATGTTTTACATATCCAAACTATTTTTGCCTTCTTGCTTATAGCTTTAATTTCTCACTTATAGTTTTAATTTAATTTTTAAATAAAAAAGCATTTTATTTAAAAAACAACAAAAAAATTAGCCTGTTCTATGGTTTGCATTCAATTTTCCTGAACTGCAAAAGCCACCTGATTTTTTCGCTTTTTCAAAAAGCGTGATTTACTATACATTAAAACCATAGCCATTCAATGCTTAGTATCACAAAATTAACACCCACAATAATAAGACAATCAATCACTGCTACTAAACAGTCTGACACAATTCTTTAAAATATTTACAATGTACAATAGGAATATCTATCTGATTAAGCATTTTTCTTATTTTTTAAATCATATTTCAACATTTTGGGAAAAGGCATTTAGAATCCACACCCCACCCTGTCACCCCCACAAAAAGGTTTAAACATTGTTTTGGTTTAAGTGTTCATGCCCCAGCCAATTCTTTGCCATTAAATACGTAGCTCTTGGGAAATCAAAGAAAGTCTTAAGGCATGATTTTGTTCAGCTGGTCTGTGCTCACATAGCCACACGATGAGAGAAACTCTTTGTCAGGCAAGGGCAAGGCAGTCGCATTGAGTATGAGGCCCTGTGGGGACTGTACTATATGAATGGAGGTATAATCTGGGACAGGCATCTCAGAACCTGGAATATGTTCTGCTGTCCCAGGCCTCCCAGCAGTAGTGGTAAGGCTCTCTGTGGTGATATAAATGTCCTCTTGGTTAAAGCTTGGCTCTGTGTGTGATTCAACCTTGATGTGAGGAGTCACAGGGATGCACTTTTTGGCATCTGCCTCGCAGAAGTAGGCATTGTCCATAATGAAGTTTGCTTGGCAGAGTGAGACCACTTCTGGATGCATATCACACTGGGACATCCCTGCCTTATTCTTTTGGCCCGGTGAAAGGACCACACTCCCTGCTGGTGTAATGTCGCTCACCTGGGCATAAAAGTCAATGTTTGCCAGTGAACTTGGATTGCTTAACTGAATATGGGCAGCTTGATGAGTTGACTCAGCTCCATCAGTAAGAAGTGGTTGCAGTTTGTTTTTCTCTGCTTGGATAACACTGGGCTGATGAATAGCAGGGCAAGCATCATGATAAGGTGAGTTGTTTTGATTCTTCTGGTCAAGGCACAAGAGATCTGCTTCCCCTTTTAACCTCTGTGGCTGAACAACCTCTGAGGTACCATCATGTATGTCATTGACATTGAAATCAGTCTCCAGCATGTCAGGTTCGTAACAGCTGGTACGTCCAGAGTCGCCATCCTTCACCCCTAGGTTACTACGTGATTTCTCATGGTCACTGCTTAGAAGTCTGTCTGTGTCTGATCCCTCAGTCTTTTCATCTGGGTCCTCAATATCTAGCTCAATAAATTCAACCCAAGAGTCATCACTGTGGAATTCAGGTTTATAGCTATCATGAATGGCTAAGATTGTGTTCACCTCCTCTAATTTTCCTTCCTAGAAAATAGAAAGAAAATGAAGATCTATGAAAAGAAACTCATAATAATTAAATGACTTAGCAAATAATGTTCAGAGATATGGTTACAATAAAAACAACAGTAACAAAAACATATAAACAAAACATAAATTATTATATAAAATTTAAATACATATGACATTTTCTTATTTTTATGAGATATATTTTTAAAAATTTTCTCCAGATGAGATACAAAAAAATTGAATGTAATATATATATGTGAGATGTATATATGTGATATATATATATGATATGCCATTTATATATGATACAGAAAACCTTCAACATATAACAGCATTCTCCAGGTGTTAATTAGTACTATCTACAATTTAGATAAAATTATGAATTACCTTGAGGAGATCTGGATCAATTCCTTTAATCTTTGGAACTGGAACTGGGGGCAGAATCAGCATTTTAATCCTTGAAAACAAATAAAATTTTGGTTTTGACATCTTAAAGCTACATATTCTCACTTATAACAAAAGATAGAAATAAAATATTGGCAATACTATTACGTATTCCAAGTATTCTTGTACTTTATATAATTGGAGTATGAGAAACAGAAGGAAATACTAGGCAGTAAATTAGGAAGAAAAATTACAGAAGGAAAGAAAATAGCAACAATTAAAAAACCCCAAAAGCCCTCATCTGACGTCTATTAAAAGAAAATGTGGTTTTCCCACAATCTTTTTGCTCTTAATGCTTTTTATTGACAGTCAGATTTAGTATTTGAAAGTAAGAAATTTAATTTCATCTGAAGCTGATTTCCATGTCAACTATAAGGAGGGCAATTCTAGTGTACATCTCATCAGTAATTTGTACAGAAAAAAAAGGAAGAAAAAAGAGTCATGGAGCTAAGATTTTTGCACTCTTAAAAAAGGGTAGCCTTGGGTAGGTCAGCCATATAGTTCATATTAATTATGAAATTATCTAAGATGATCTTATTAACCAGGATGTTACAGCAGAATTCATTTCAGGTTGGACAGACTAAATTTGAACTATCTCTAAACTAATCAGTATGGGTTTATATATACAATCCTAGGATGCATTTACATTTTTGGTTCCAAATCTTTAAATTATTTTTTGGTCATGAAACTGAATAAATCATTTATATATTTTGAACAATTAATAGTGTAACTGGAGTTCACTGTGTTTTTAATTGTTTTTTGACTTTTTGAAACAGGGTCTTACTTTATTGCCCAGGCTGGAGTCCAGTGGTACAATCAAAATTCACTGCAGCTTCAAACACCTGGGCCAAGTGAGCTTCCTGTGTCAGCCTCCTAAGTAGCGAGGACTACAGGGTGTGCTAATTTTTATTGTTTTACTTTTTGTAATGGAGTCTTGCTCAAGTCATTGCCCAAGCTGTCTGGAACTCCTGGCCTCAGGGCAGTCATCCTGCCCCATCTTCCCAACGTGCTGGATTTATATGCTGTAAGCCACTGTATCTGGCCTGGAGTTTGTTTTTTTTTTTTTAAATCAAATTGTAGCACTGGAAAAAGGCTCAGAGATTATCTATTCCAAACAATTCATTTAATTTTTTAAAAAACTCCTGAGTATTCAAAGATGACACTGTTACAGAGAGATGATAACCTGACTTTTGGATATCAGTTGCTATTCCACTCCGTGTGAGTGGTCAGTCTAGTCCATTCCACAAGGAATACATTCTCTGAATATTTCCACTTGCCATTTTATCTAATCCAAGGAATAAACAAAATTCCATTTTATAAATTGCATTAAGCAGCCTCTACTACTCAGTGGGGCAAGTGTTAAAGCAAATTGTTACTGACGAATTACAGATACAGAAATAAGCAGTACAAATTATTTATAATAACTACCATCATTTTTTAGTGCTCCTGATAAATCAGACACTGTGGGATATACTTTGCACTAAACTATGGGTCACTAAATTAAGGCCTGTGGGCCAATCTGGACTGTCACTTATCTGTGTAGATAAAGTTTTATGAGAAAACAAGCATGTTCATTCATTTACATATTGTCTATGACCACTTTCATGCCACAGTGGCAGAGTTGAGTAGTTGTGACAGAGATTGTATGACTTGAAAAGCCTAAAAATGTGCTCTGACTTTATAAAACAAGTTTGTGACCCCTGCACTAAACATTTCACTTAATCTTGGCTGGTGATTGGAGACCCGGGAAGTAGCCCATTCATATGATTAAAGAGGGGACTGAACAGGGAGGCAGGCCAGGAGATCCCTGGGCAAAAAAAGCACCACGAATCTCAGCCCCGCTGTTTAAGCCAGTGCAGTGAGTCGCCCTATGGGAAATCACAAAGATCTCAGCACCCTTTCAACAGGCGACTGGGATAGAGGCGACTATTCAACTAAAAAAGATAAAAAGGCTCTGAGGCAGGGAGCCAGGTGATCAGGCTCGGCTGGTCCCACCCCCACAAAAGAACAGCAATCAGAAACTCTCTGGATTGAGAGTTTCACAGCAAGCACAAATGAACCCGGGACGGTCCAGCTCTGTGGGGGAGGGGCGTCCGCCATTACCGAGGCACTTCACCACTACAGAGGTAGTCTGCCATAGCTGAGGCAGTCTGCCATTGCCAAGGCAGCCCGCCGTTGCCAAGGCAGCCCACCATTGCCAAGGTAGCCCACGATTGCTGAGGCTGCCTGCCGTCGCCAAGGCAACCCACTATTGCCAAGGCAACCTGCCATGACAGACAGAGTCAGCCAATACAGAGGTGGGACACCAGTGACGAGGCAGTTCTAACTACACCCATATAAGCAAGGCTGCAGGGAAGTTCACACGGCAGCTGGGTGGAGCCCACAGCAGCTCAGCAAAGCCTCTGCCGGCAGACAGTCACCAGGCTGCTTCCTTGCTTGGCAGGGCAGCCTTGGAAAAAAAAAGGCAGCAGCACAAGGGAAACCCATAAATAAAGCCCTAACTCCCTGGGACAGAGCACCTGGGAATAAAAAGGGTTTATGAGTTCTGCTGCAGCAGACCTAAACATACCTGCCCAGCAGCTCTGAATGAACAACGGAGCTCACAGCTCAGCACTTGAGCTCCTATAAAGGACAGATTGTCTCCTCAAGCAGCTCCCTGACTCCTGTATATCCAAAGAGTCACCTCATAAAGGAGAGATCAGATTGACATTTGGTGGGTATCCTTCTGGGACAAAGAGAGCAGAAGAAGAAACTGGCAGCAACCCTTACTGTTCTGCAGCTGCTGCAGGCAATCCCCAGGCAAGCAGGGCCTAGAGTGGACCTCAGCACTCCTACAGCAGAGGGGCCAGACTGTTAGAAGGAAATCTAAGAAACAGAAATAACTTCATCATTAACAAATGGAACGTCCACTCAGAGACCCAATCTGAAAGTCAGCAACTACAAAGACGACAGGTAGATAAATCCATAAACATGGGAAGAAACCAGCGCAAAAAGAATGAAAACACCCGAAACCAGAACATCTCTCCTCCTACAAGGGATCACAACTTCTCACCAGCAAGGGAACAAGGCTGGATGGAGAAGGAGTGTGATAAAATGACAGAATCAGACTTCAGAAGGTGGGTAGTAAGAAACTACAGTGAGCTAAAAGAACATGTTCTAACCCAATGCAAAGAAACTAAGAACCTTGAAAAAAGATTTGACAAAATGCTAATGAGAATGGACAACATAGAGAGGAATATAAGTGAACTGATGGAGCTGAAAAACACAACAGGAGAACTTTGCGAAGCATGCACAAGTTTCAACAGCCGAATTGACCAAGCAGAAGAAAGGATATCAGAGGTCGAAGATCAACTCAATGAAATAAAATGAGAAGGCAAGAATAGAGAAAAAAGGGTAAAAAGGAATGAACAAAGTCTCTACGAAATATGGGACTATGTGAAAAGACCTAATCTACGTCTGATAGGTGTACCTGAATGTGACTAAGAGAATGAATCCAAGCTGGAAAATACTCTTCAGGATATTATCCAGGAAAACTCCCTCAACCTAGCAAGGCAGGCCAATATTCAAGTCCAGGAATACAGAGAACACCACAAAGATATTCGTCAAGAAGAGCAACCCCAAGGCACATAATCGTCATATTCACCAGGGTTGAAATGAAGGAGAAAATGCTAAGGGCAGCCAGAGAGAAAGGTCAGGTTACCCAAAAAGGGAAGCCCATCAGACTCACAGCAGATCTCTCAGCAGAAACCCTACAAGCCAGAAGAGGGTGTGGGCCAATATTCAACATCCTTAAAGAAAAGAACTTTCAACCCAGAATCTCCTATCCAGCCAAACTAAGCTCCATAAGAGAAGGAAAAATAAAATCCTTTGCAAACAAGCAAGTACTTGGAGATTTCATCACCACCAGACCTGCTTTACAAGAGCTCCTGAAAGAGGCTCTACACATATAAAGGAACAACCAGTACCAGCCACTCCAAAAACATGCCAAATGGCAAAAAGCATCAACACAATCAAGAATCTGCATCAACTAACGAACAAAACAGCCAGCTAGCATCAAAATGGCAGTATCAAATTCACACATAACAATATTATCCCTAAATGTAAATGGACTAAATGCCCCAATCAAAAGACACAGACTGGCAAACTGGATAAAAAGCCAAATGCATCGTGTACTGTATCCAGGAAACCCATCTCACATGCAAGGATACACAAAGGCTCAAAATAAAGGGATGGAGGAAGATTTAACAAGCAAATGGTGAGCAAAAAAAAGCAGGAGTTGCAATTCTCATCTCTGATAAAATAGACTTTAAAGAAACAAAGATCAAAAGAGACAAAGGGGGACATTACATAATGGTAAAAGGATCAATGCAACAAGAAGAGCTAACGATCCTAAATATATACAAACCCAATACAGGAGCACCCAGATACCTAAGGCAAGTTCTTAATGACTTACAAAGAGACTTAGACTCCCACACAATTATAGTGGGAGACTTTAACACTCCGTTGTCGATATTAGACAGATCAACCAGACAGAAAATTAACAAGGATATCCAGGACTTGAACTCAGACCTGGACCAAGCAAACCTAATAGAAATTTACAGAACTCTCCGCCCCAAATCCGCAGAATATACATGAAACTCTACTGAAAATAACCCTTTCTGCATTCAGTTAGACTTTTACACTCTAGCATCCCAAGAATTCTTCTTCCTAATGAAATTCTATTTTGAAGTTTACAAATGCTGTACTATGTCACAAAACAAATTAAAACCTTTTAAAATAAATTCACAACAGAGTGAGACTCCATCTCAAGGAAAAAAAAAATTGAGTGTATATAAGGACAGCATCATACTCAGCCAAAGGCTCAGTGATACTCTGAAGTCCTGGAATGAATGGGTCAACTTGTTGAGGACTTGAGGGGGAAGAGGTAGCTATTAGATAAAGAGGTACACATCACAAGGTATGCATAGTCAGTAGCCTAAGCATCTTAATGTTCTGTACAAGTCTCCAGGTAGAATCTAAACCTCTTAGTTGTCTATGATAAATACAACAAATTGAGTTTCATATAAATGGTAAATATATAACTAGAGATAAAAGTTTACTAGGTTAATTAAATTTCCACTCATAATTTACAAAAGAAAATATCAAATAACACAGAGAAACACACATGGAAATCTAAACAACTGGCAAAAACTACCAGAGAATACTACTTCATACCTACCTTTGCTGTTTAGAAAATAAAAATACAAATAGCATCACTGTTAGCCCAGATATTCCAAAGATAATAATTAAGAGCCATGGAAAGTAGAAATCTGAAACACACAAGAATATTTCACTCTTAGAATTATGAATAGTTGAAGCACAGTTTACATTTCCCTTTCCCTTTTCACAAAAAATTCCTAATTTGTATTCCTAATAAAGTCAGTGATTTCTCTTGATAACCACTGAAACAGAATGCAAAAACTTAGTTTTATTCTGTTCTAAGGACATCTCTACTTTTCAAATCTCTTCATATTGAAAAAATACATTTCAAAAGAAACAGCAGATAGTTCAAAATCAACATGTGTTTTATGAAAACAAACAATCTGCTTTAAGCATATTATGTGTCAAGGGAGTATCAGAAACATTTCGGCTCCTGGTAAAAGGTGTTGTTTATTAACACACTATATAAATAATGCCCACTTAGTTTATATATTTTTTTCTAAGTGTGGTGATTTTCTTAGCCTCCAGATTGAAGATTTATCAAAAAGATGAAGGCATAGTTTTCATTTATAAATCATGACAGAAACTTCTTAGACACAAAGAACATATATTTTACAGCTATAAATATACATGTTTATATTAATAAATTAAATTATTAAAATATGATAAATATATCTCATGTATATTATATACATACAATCAATAGAAAGATCACTACTGAGGCTCCCATCTTCGGGTTTTAGTGTACTTTATATCAGACTTGGGGGAACCTGTTTGTAAAACTTCTATTTCATTCCTTAAGAGTGAGTACCTCCCAGCTACACTGCAGTTGGTTCCCAGTATTCTTACCATAGCAGCAGAGGTTAACTACTTTTTCATAAAAATGAGAGATGGAATTTACTTTAATATTGCCTTTTAAAAAGTAGGCCTTTATGCTGAAATAGTCTTTTCTCATTTAATAAATTATTAAAATCTCCTAGGGAGATATTATAAGCATTTTAAAGAATTCATGGAGGAGAAAATATCATTTTTTTGTCTTGTAGTATGTATAATTTTCTATCAGTGACATATTCATGAAAATAACATAAAGTTAGAGCTTATTTTTTTTGTTAATAACAGAAGGAAAAGCTAGTTTAAAAAATATATGTTAAGTGAATTAAATGCCACTACACTAAGCTTAAGAGTGTATAGCAATTGTACTTTTACATCCAGAATTGCATTAAATCAAATAGTTTGGAAACAAGAAGTTATTTAACTAGAGTTTAGAGAAAATGGTGCTATAGAAATTTTCATCCTAGTGCTATTTAGTATCATGAGATTCTACCTGTACAGTAAATGCAGAAATAGAAATTTATTTTCTATGTAGCTTATGGTTGTTTGTTTAACAAACATATAGCCCTGTAATCTTTCTGTTTTCAATGAAGATGGAAGAGAGACAATTCACATTTGAGAGTGATAATACTCTATACTTTCTGCTCATTATTAATCAGTTTTATTTATTTCTGTATCTAAAAGTTTTAATCCTTTTATTCTAAATTCATAGGTCCCATTTTAAAAAACACAAATCATTGTCGTTGTTCTCCTACACAGGGTTTTCAGATGTTCCATGTCTTTTTTGAGTATCACTAGCACACTACTTGTTAGGCATTCCTCTAGGTAAAATCCACACTCCACTTTCTAAAACTGTATGCACTTGCTGTTGACTACCTATGCTGACTCAATATTAGGTTTCCTCTTAGACGCCACGTATCTATTTATTCATATAGATACACACTTTCTTCCCTAACCACTAGAACAGCTTTTTCCTGATTATAAATTCAAAACAAACTTATTATAGAAAATTTTAGAAATATAAAAACATATAAAGAAAAGAATAATCTGAATTCTACCATCCAGAGATTGCCACCATATTCCTGTCTCTGAACTTCCACCTGTCCCAGGACTTTTCCTGAATGAAAAATTTGGAAACTAAATCTTCCTTCTGCTTTTGCAATGAACAATGTCTATTACAGATAGTGAGCTCAAGGTCTCTCACCCTGATACCTGATGCTAATATATTTTGATATAAACAACACGTTACCAGTGCAGAGATGAATCAACTGCTATATTGACAAAAGCCAGGTTAGTTGCTATTTTAATCTTTTATTTCTTTTACCTTCTTCACATGTAAATTGGTTCATCTGAGGAAGTTTTACATACAGCACCTCGCTGAACTCGCCATAATTTTCAGATTTTTGTTGTTTGGATCTCACACGCACTTCATATTCCTTATCCACTCTCAAGGAGTACAGTGGAACTGATGTTGACAATATAGGGTCCATCTTTCAAGACAAAATATAAAGGCATATTGGCTAAAGAGTCAACCGCTCAATGCAATAAACGCTACAGAATGGGTTTTTATTAAGTAGGTAATATTTTAAAATGCATTGTGAGTGTTTGCTATTTAAAGAAAGATTGAGGCAAATAATTATGTAAAGAATTATTTTTAAAAATGGGTAATAGTTCACAAATTTAGTTTGGTATAAACCCAAAGATATGATAGACTTGCTTAAAGAAATGCAGCTATAACTGTCCATTAGTCTTCTAGATATTTAATAAGATTAAAGCATATTAGAATTATTCTGAATGGTAGAACTATAAAGAAGACTACAGATACGTTGCCTACATATCTGGGATATTACACTTTTGTATGAAGGGAGACATAAGAACAGAAAAAAAAAACATGTTTCCACATCAAAATAAATTGTAGCCATAGCAAGTTGTATATCAGTGTTCAATGGAAATTCTGGGTGGTCATTCATATAATCACAGAATTGGAAAAGGTCCTAGAAAAATCATAATTGCCTTTAGTGAACTTTCAAATAGTTTTATTAAAAGCAACTACATACCTAATCTTTTTGTTCTAGAAGGCTTAAAGCCACCACAAAATAGTTAGCTATTTAAAACCTGCAAAGAAAAGTCATTGGAGTCCTTTGCTAAGAAACATCTAGGTCTCACAACCCTTAAAGTCAGGATATTCCTTTACCTTCTCAGGGAAGGGTACAGTGAGACTGTTAGACTTTTAATACATATTGCTATCAAAGAGGTAGACTCAACTAGCATTTTCCTCCAAGTCAAATACTCAAAGCAGATATTCAATGTGCTTTTCATACATCTTTTTTGGTAGAACACCTTGTTCCTGTTTATAGAAAACCTGAAACACTCATGTTTTCAGCAGCATGGATTTTCACATAAATAAAAGTCTCATAATTTGTTTCATTAAGTCAGCAACTGGGCCCTCAGCTTCTAAAACAAGTTTTTCTTTTACCTCAATTAGCTTCTACTCACAAAGTACCCTTTTTGCCCCATGTCTATATGACAGGGTTTGTTTGTATTTTTTAAAGAAGCCTCTGAATATATGGGATATTTGCATGCGTAAAATGCTTTCTTTAAAGTAGGATACTGAATACTGAGCTTATTTTATTATTTTGCTTAAGGATTTTTTAAAGCCTATGTTTGCATCCTCAAAGCCCTTATTTCTCTGTTATTGTCACCAATACAATTTCTTAAATGATTTCACTAATAATAGAATAAAAAAAGGGCCCTCAGTGATTCAAGTGTGGTCCTCTCTCCATATTCCCTCAACCCTCCACAACAGCCAAACCAAACTCAGATTTCGTGTAGCTCCTACCCTCTTGGCTCCCGTCATACCTAACCCTATCATCTGCCTGTGCAGGGCGCCTGTTTCTCATCCGTCTAAGTGTGAGTATTGAGCTGATATTCTAAGTCTTGGCTGGTACTTTTCCCCACTGTACTCTGCCAAATAATATACTTCTTCCATTATTAATTATATTTCACTGTGCAAATTTAGTTACACAAAGCTTTTTGTGTTACATTGTAAATTTTCCAAGATAACTCATTATTTTTCATCTCCAAAGCCCAGCACAATATCCGGTATCCAGTGGGTGCTCAAGATATGGCACAGATATCATGAATAATTCTATGTTACCCATTAAGTCTTTTTTCAAAAACTGTGTTATTGGTTTACTAGATAAATAGTTGTAAAAAACTACATGGTCATGCAAAATGTATTTAATAAAAAGGGTGGCTGGGAGCAGTGGCTCATGCCTGTTATCCCAGAACTTTGGGAGGCTGAGGTTGGTGGATCAACTGAGGTCAGGAGTTCGAGACCAGCCTGGCCAACATGGTAAAACCCCGTCTCTACTAAAAATACAAAAATTAGCTGTATTAGCTGGGTGTGGTGGTGTGCGCCTGTAATCCCAGCTACTCAGGAGTCCTAGGCATATAATCTCTTGAACTCTGGAGGTGGAGGTTGCAGTAAGCTGAGATTGGGTCACTGCCCTCCCGCCTGGGGACAGAGCAAGACCCTGCCTCAACAAACAAACGAACAAACAAACAAAAAAGGCACACTGCTAAAAGTTCATATTGCCAAGTGGTAACATGAATTCCTGATACAAATGCTACACACCAGGTTCTCTCCCTTTACTTATAAACCATTTTTCTGCTTATGATGCCTGTGCTCCATAACCCATTATATTGTTTGTTTTTTCAAGAGATAAATTAATTATTACAGATAAGTCACTGGTCTTTGTCCAAGACCTTTGCAAATTACCAAACTTATAAATATCATGAATAAAAGGTATAAAGAAAAGGTTCACTGACTTCTTTGGAGTACCTAATGAGATTTAGCAGCAGTGCCATGAAAAGGGCAACAAAGCCATGTTGGGATACAGCTCTGAACAGTTAACAAAGTTACATGCTCACAAGTACCTGGCGCAGCATGGGAGTTTCAAAGTGGTGCCTCAGTAACCATATGCCATGGGCTTTTAGAGATGAAACGATGGTAACTGAATCGATGAATGTTAACATTCAGATTTATTTCTTTGTTTTTTCTAGGCTGTTTCACTATTTTGTTTCAGGACTACTTTAAACTCTTAAACATTAGAGAACCCTAAAGATTTTGGTTTAGTTGGGTTATACCTATCTCTATTTACTGTATTAGAAATTGAAATGAAAAAAATTTAAATCCAATTTTTAAAAATAAAAATAATGAATTGATTTAATGTAAAAATAAATAATACATTTTAATAAAAATTATTACAGTTTCCAAAACAACAAAAACTAGAGTGAGAAAAGTGACACTGTTTTACATTTTTACAAATCTCTTTAATGTCCGACTTGAAGATGGCTGTATTTTTATAACTACTTCTGAATTAAACCTATTAAGTGTGCTGTTTTGGTTGAAGTAAATGAATAAAACATGGCCTCACACAGACAAATAGTGAGGAAAAGGAGGAATATTTTAATAAACATTTTACATAATTGTGAACATTTCTGTTTAACAATACACTAAAACTCAAATGATAGTTTCTTAAAGGTTAGTGGAAATATGAAATCTGAAACTCTACCAATGAGCTTTTTGTACTTTGTTAAATTAAAATTAACCATTCCTCACCAATAGACCTATCTTGCAAGAGCTGCTAAAGGGAGTTCTTTAGCTGAAAGCAAAGTGGGCTAATTAGCAACATAAAATCATGTGAAAGCATAAAATTCACTGGTAAAAGTAAGTACATAGTCAAATTTGGAGTAATGTAATATTTTCATGGTAATATGTAAATCACTTTTGATTTAGAATGAAGGTTAAAAGATACAATTATTAAAAATAATACTGGTACAATAATTTAATAAATTAATTAAATAATTTAATAAATATGCAATATAAAAATATATAAGTGTGACATTGAAAATTTAGAATCTGTGTTTGGGGGGGTATGTGGAGTAAAAGTGTGGAGATTTTTTATGCAAGAAAGTTAAATTGTTATCAGGTTAAAACAGCCTATTATAACCACATGTACACATAGAAACCTAGGAATACATTTAATAAAGGAAGTGAAATAGCTTGTAAGTAGAACTATAAAACACTGATGAAAGAAATGACAGATAATGCAAATGCAAAAACAATCCATGCTTATGAATTAGAAGAATCAATATTGTTAAGATGACCATACTGCCCAAAATAATCTACATATTCAATGTAATACTTATCAAATTATCAATGTAATTTTTCACAGAATTAGAAAAAACAATTGTAAAATTCATATGGAAGTGAAAAAGAGGCCAAATAGTGAAAGCAATCCTAGCTAAAAAGAATAAAGCCAGAGGCATCACATTACCTGACTTTAAATTATACTACAAAGCTACAGGAACCAAACAATATGGTACTGGTTGAAAAAAAAGACACATAGATCGATGGAACAGAATAGAAAACCCCAGAATAAAGCCTCATACCTACAACCAACTAATCTTTGACAAAGTTGACAAAAACAAGAAACTAGGAAAAGACTGTTTAATAAATAGTGCTGGATAACTGGCCAGTTATATGCAGAAGATTGAAAATGGACCCTTTACTTTCAGCATGTACACAAATCAACTGAAGATAGATTAAACATTTAAATGCAAAACCTGACTTCCACCAAGATGGCCGAATAGGAACAGTTCCAGAGCACAGTTCCCACTGAGAGTGACACATAAGGAAAGTGATCCCTGCATTTCCAACTGTGGTACTAGGTTCATCTCAATGGGACTGGGTAGAGAGTGAGTATAGCCCAAGGAGGGCAAACTGAGGTAGAGTGGGGTGTTGCCTCACCTAGGAAGTGCAAGGGAAGAGAGAACTCTCCCTCCTACCCAAGGGAAGCCATCAGGGACTTTTCCAGACATTCTGGCACTACAGCTCAGATACTGTGCTTTTCCCATAATCTTTACAGCCCACAGACCAGAAGGTTCCTGCTGGTGGCAACAACACTAGTGCTGTGGGTTTCTAGCACAAAAGTGTGTGGCTGTTTGAGCCAGTGCCATGGGTTTCCAGCACAAAACTGGGGGGCCATTTTAGCAGGTTCCTGGAGCATCTGCAAGACAGAACCACCCATTCCCCCTGAAAAAAGGAAGGCTGAAGGCAGGGAGCCAAGTGATCTGGCTTGGTGGGTCCCACCGCCACAAAGACCAGCAAACTGAGACCCACTGGCATGAGATTTTCACAGCCAGCATAGCAGCTTTAGATCGACCTGGGATGGTTGAGCTCAGTGCAGGGAGAGGCATGCACCATTATTGAGGCAGTTCTAACCTTGCCTGTGTAAACAAAATCACAAGGAAGTTTACACAGCAACCTGTCAGAGCCCATGACAGCTTAGCAAGGCATCTGCACACAGACTGTGACTAGAATCCCTCCTTGCTGGACAGGGCATCTCTGAAAAAAAGGCAGCAGCCTGTCAGGGACTTATAAATAAAGCCCCACCTTCCCAAGACAGAACAGCTGGGAAAAGGG